GGCGGCTTGGCAAAGCCGAGTGGTCTCCTTTGACGTGCCGCATCTGCCCAGTGAGTGCGAGAGAGAGAGAGACGACAAAACAGCGTATCGACCAATCCAAGATGAGCCCTGCTCCCCGTTTACGGCCGTTCTTTCCCGGGCTCACGCTCGGAAAGCAACCGGGTGCTTTTGCCGGCAACGGAATTCCCCAGCGCACTACCACCGCGGACCAAATTACGAGGCCCAGCCTGTATTTTTAAGGCGGTCAGTCTCTGAAGTCAAAACGCCTTCTCTTCCTTGCGTATGCAACACGGACATCCCTCGAGTTTGAATAGTTGCAATCAGGAGTCATAATATGAAATTCATTGAGTGTCAGTCACATGCGACACGAAGCGCATACCGCCGTGCTGAGGAAGAACGCCGTATGAATAATCGAGAGTTGTCAAAGTTCCTTCGATAAAATGTTTATTCTTGAGAAAAGTTATGAATATTTTTCCTTGAAATTCTGAGGAACATTAGATAGAATTAGAAACAAAATTATCTGAAAAATTGGAAGATAAATATTCATAAGTCTACCAGGAGATTTTTGTTGTATCAAGGAAAAGTTGGCAACGCCTGAAGGTTCTTACTGCGTTTTTACTTAGTACGACACCGTAGGCGGATCCACACAGACACCCTAAACGGGTCGGAGGGACGGAAGGGATATCCGGGGGGCAAAATCACAATTGGCAATATGCGTTTTAATTTTTTAAAATTTAATCTTTTAAATTTTTCTCAACCAAATAAATAATGAGCGGAGACCTGCAAAGTAGCAATGGGCCGCAATATACGCGTTTTTCGCATTGAGCCATCAAAATATTTTTTGTCATCCTGTATCGCTCCGAGAGGCAAGGAACTTTCTTAAAATAGGTCAGAAGAAATAAGATAAAGTTGAAAGGACTTCTATCTCTAAATTTCTGTGACACAGTGCTACGTGCTTTTAAAAAAGTTCGTTTATAAGTTTGCCATGATGTGATCTCGTTCCCCTTGGCAAGTCCCTTATATTTTCAAGAAACTTTAATCCGACCAACTTATACATCAACGAGATGTATTTATTTTTCTGAAATTTTCAGGCACAAAGTGCAAGAAACGTCCCCAAAAATTCTAAAGAAAAGTTCAATAAGTTGGGATGTGACAAGAAATCTGTGACATCGCCTAGCCTAAATAGGTACACGTATACATGATTTTTAGGTGCAACGGCGAAAGTATTCCTGTGACATCTATTCTGCTCTTTCCCTTCTGAAATAGGGGGTGCGTCTAATTAACAATGGGCCGTTATGATCGTACAATTTTTCCCTGATCAAACAGACTTTTTAGCTGACAAATTCCTTTCGGCATTCTCTCCCGCTAATTTTCATGAGCAAAAGCGGTACCTACTTAATTTCATGTCGAGCCTAGTTGTTCAGTTAGGTTGGGGTATTTAAGAAATCATCGGGACATTGATGTGCAGAATTTATTACGTGGCGATCACATAGACATCAGATAGCGAATGAGAAATGAAAGAACAAATTTATAAAAATGTTAATGTCGGGAGTCAGGCAAAAAGGCCCCCATGGTGGAACTTTTTTTACACGACTTTGATTATATTCGGTGCCTATTTATGAACAGGGTTGCCAGAAAGAACCTTGGTGAAAGTGGAACATAATGACTTTCTAGTCATAGCGACATTACTATGTTTTACGAAACACATTGTCTCAATGACGGTCATTATGACGTCATAGTGTCAGAAATTGTCACTGTGATGTCATTATGACGATCATTGAGACTCTGTGTCTCATGAAGCATAGTGATGTCGCTATGACTTTTGATCACTGTGATATTTTGCTATGACGTGAGTTGGTTACTGGGAAAAACTTTCTTCAAAATTGAATCCTGTACTCAAGAATTTTCCCTAATGTGAAAAAGTGTAGTTACAATAAACTGTGATAGAAAAGTAAAGGGGAAAAATTAACTTCTGGAATAATAAATTGTAAATGAATTGGGGCAAATACCTTTGTAAATCTAAGGAAAAATATGAAATTATTAAAATTGCTCTACAACATAAAGTATCACAGGAAGAAAAAACGTAGCATAAATAATGAATATACTTCAACTAAAAGGGGAAAAAAAACAAAAAATACCTAGTGTACATCGTTCGAAAAATACACAAAATGTAACACCTTTCTGTATGCCTTTTTATCCTTAAGCACCATCATTGTAATGATTACTTTCAAGGTCAATTAGTCACAATTATCCACGATCATAGCAACATATTTCAGTCGTAAGAGCGTTAAACTGACTCTTACTTTGACTCAGTTTCAATCATAACGATGTCACACCAATGGTCACTCTGACCCTGTTTTTATTATCATTATGATATCATACTCAAGACCAATCTACACAGGTCAGTCATTGCGCATCTTTTTGAAATCCACTCCCCCGCCCGCGGCCAACGCTACGTCACATTATGGAGGTGCTCCCATAAGAAATACATCGCAGGCACTCAATGCTACGTCACTGCGCAGTAGAGTTCTAAAACTCGCCCTCGGGAATGACTGACCTCTGTAGATTGGTCTTGATCATACTTAGTGCTGGGTTTGCTCTGCCAGAATGGACCACTAGACAAGGTACGAATTTCAGCATTCTGATACATGTTTCGCAAATAAAATTTCACGTAGAACACGATGCGCACAACAAAAATTACCGAAATTAACTCCTTACGAAGATATTTAATGTTTCTTGACGCGTGAATTCAAACCACCCGCTCATGAAAACTCAATGTTCTACGTGATTCACATCGCGCGCTAAACATTAATCATGACAGTCTCTGTGTTATAAAAATCTGGCAACCTCAATATTGACGCTTCGGCTCAGCTATAGCAAATTGCTAATAGTTTGAACAACACATGGTGGGAAATGAACATTGCTCGATTAAGAAGCTTGCTGAAACCATTGTAGTGCGCGATTTGACTCACGTAGAGCTTTGAGTTTCTTGTGAGCGGGCAGTTCAAATTCCTCGTAACCAATGTGAAATAAAAACGTTAATATCTTCCTTAGGAGTTGGTTTCAGTAATTATCATTGTGTGAATCGTGTTCTTCGTGAAATTCTGGTTAAGAATCATGTATCAGATTGCTTAAATTTGTACCTTGTCTAGTGGTACATTGATCATAATCAATTCAGAGAGACGTCACTGTGGTCACTGTGATGTTGCTATGACGTTATTATGTTCATTATGACATCATAACGACATCAGAAGAATAATCACCGTGATGATATGGGCGTATCTATAATAATAGGAACCAAGTGGAAAGATGGGGTGTGCTCGTGCGAGCTGCATAAGAAACAATGGAAAAGTGGATATAGTTCCTTTTGAGAGAATGAAAAAGCGGGATTTTACATGAAATCAAAAGGAACTGAGCGCTAACTCGTGAGCCGTGGTCATGTGACAAGAGCATTGTGAACAGGGTTCATGAGTTAAAGAGTCCAGCCACCGATCTCCCCGTCGTGCCCGGTCTCCCCGGTTGCCGCTGACGTCACTGGCGCTTTAAAATTCTCATTCACTCTTATGGCCCTCAACTAACGAGCTTATCCCATCTTTCCACTTGCACACAGTTCCATTTAGCATAAATGCGCCCATATGATGTCATCATGTTCCTGTTTTACCAGGGAAAATTCTTGAAACGTGAATTGTTGTTTGTAGGGTCAGACACGGTGCGGTGGTGCCTGTTTGTTGAAGATTCTTGGACGTTTGCGCGGCGGGTTGGCGATGTCGGGCGGGGTTGCCCTCCACCTCTGAACGACGACGGCGGTGACGGAGGATTTGACGGGATTGGCGGTGGCGCCAACGAAAAGCTGGAGGGGTAGACAGAACTCCAATCACCTTTTAACAGGTAAAATGTGTTTGCGGATATGTCGTAACTCCTCATATTTTCGAAATTCTTCCTGTGAAGTGGGCAATCCTTGCTCAAATTCGACCGACCTTGTACGCTCCTAACTTCACCTTGTGTGAAATAGGCCATGTAGTGCGCTTGGTTGCAGCTCTTACGATGATACGGGACTATCCTGTCCACGAAGACCATTGCCAAAGCGATTCCTTTACTACCGCCGAAAGGAAAATCCTTGTCTATCCTCTTGACAAGTGTGCCTCCATATGAACTGCCGACTGAGACGCGTCTGAAAGTGGCTTGTTTTTTGTCAATAACCTCCATGTAAACGACCCACCTCCCATCCAGTGCGAAGAACAAGGTTCCGTCCTTGCCTTCTATCAAGTCGCCACCCCCGAAGCGGTAGTCGCGAAGACAGGGCTCCGGCTCCCGGAACTGTTGAGACTGTTCCCACCGAGCGCTTCTTATTTGTCTGAGCAGATTGCTTCCGCCGTTGAATGTCCGCCTCACCTTATCTGACACTGAACGGAGAAGTCTGGTTGATGGTGATGGTGGTGCGTGTGCCGTTGAGACGAGCGTCAGGATAATAACTGGAATCAGCCGGATGGAGCTCGTTTCAGATTAGGTGCTTTTCATAGAGTACATAGAGTAGAGTACCTATATTGAGAGAGTATGGCCACTGGGGTTACCACCTCTGATTGGCTCAGCCATCTTAGGCTAAATGGAGCCCTTAGGACCCAAAAATGGCGGACGCCATAAATTAATGTAATGCAAAATGACTCAAAATGTAGTTTTCTTTGCTTATCGTAACGAGAAATTTACTCAAATGCACTATTGCGACAACTTTACATATTTTTAAGGCTAATCGTGTGCAATTTTTGAGAAAAATTATCGTAGATGTAGTAAGGTTGGCAGCAAGTGCGGCTGGTGATAACCGTCAAAAGTTGGCAATGACCCCCCTCCCATCCACAAAAACCAAAACAAAGCACCGCCATTTTTGGGTCCTAAGCCTCTCCATGGGGCCCAGTGGCCATACTCTCTCAATATAGGTACTCTAACATAGAGTCGCAATGTAAATGGGGGAGCTGCGCCATGTTCTACTCGACGAGTTCCGAGCCCGGTGTGCGCCGATTTCGGGTCACTTTTTCGATACAAGTTCGATCCAAGATGGCGGTGCGGAATACGCGGTGATCCCTATCTTCTTTGTTTACATTGAATGGCCGGGTACCCGTGTATCGCAAACAATCGATTATGTATCGAAAAAGTGACCCGGCGTCACACAGGAGTCTCCAAATTCGGGACCTGGAAAATGCTGAAAAGTGGCGCCAGCTCACCCACTTACATTACGACTCTATGTACTCTATGGTGCTTTTCTGCCGTGCTAAGGAAAAACGCCGTATGAACCTTCAGGCGTTGCCAAGTTTCCTCCGATAAAAACCGAATTTACTGGGAAAATTGCGAATATTATTTTCCAAAATTTTCAGACAATTTTGTACGCAATTTAATCTAAAATATCTGGAAATTTCAAGGAAAAATATGCGCGAATGTTGTCAAAAATACATATTTTTTTCAAGGGAAATTTGGCAACTTTCGAAATTCATACGGCGTTCCTCCTTAGCAGGGCAGTTTTACTCTTTCGCTGTATGCGCGTGATCGGGAATGACAAACATCAATAGAGGGAAAGTAATCTGAAGCGGGCTCTAACTGTTTTTAGGACCGTGGAGTAGGTAGAGTCGAAAAAGTGGAAGAGCTGGCGCCATGTTCTGGTCGATGAGTTCCGAACCCGGTGTGTGCCGAGCCTCGGTCACTTCTTCGATATATTTTCGTAGTACGTAGTAATTCCTATTCTCTTTGTTTACATCAGATGGACGGGTCCTCGTTTGAAAACAATCGATCGTATCGAAAAAGTGACCCAGCGTGACACAGGAGTCTCGGGATTCGGGACCTGGAAAATGCTTGAAAGTGGCGCCAGCCCTCCCATTTACATTACGACTCTACGCACTCTAAGTTTTAGACACAAGGTACTTAACCTTGCATTTAATGTAAGATGCACATTAAATTTTCTTGCAAAAATGCTGCAAGTTATTCATGAAAAAAAATAAAAGTAAATAATCGATCATCAGTGGGTTTCTGGAGTGCGGTTTCTAGATATTGAGTTCGCGAGAGAAGAAAAAAGAAGCGTATACTCGTATTTTTGTAACCAATTTCGTTGACCTACGCACCGACTACTATAACTTAAGGTGATTCGATGGACGCCATATTTTGTGTCAGAACGGCATGCGATATATCGCATCAATTGGTTCCATATTTTCAGCTACTCGTCATTTTTCTCCTATTTTGAGATCGCACTTCTGTTGTCAGGAGTCTAAAGCACTCACTTACCAATTTTAACAAAGAAATTCAACGTAATAAAGGCGTGGTTTTTTCAGAGAGAAAACATCGCATTCGATACTGATGTCGAAACTGCACTCGAGTGCGATATTTTCTCTCTAAAAAAACCACACCTTTATTACGTTGAATTTCTTTGTTAAAATTGGTAAGTGAGTGCTTTAGACTCCTGACAACAAAATTGCGATCTCAAAATAGGAGAAAAATGACGAGTAGCTGAAAATATGGAACCAATTGATGCGATATATCGCATGCCGTTCTGACACAAAATATGGCGTCCATCGAATCACCTTAAATGCATCATGGTAAGGCATCGAGATCCGACACCAACACTATTGCATGGTTGATGGGGTTATATATGGATTGCATTTTGCAAAAAGGAACCAGGAGCATTGCCGTGCTGCTAAGATTGTGCAAATCCACCCCCAGCAATTAAACTACAATAATCATGCAAATGTTTGGAATTTACATGGTGATTTTTGTTTTAAATTTACGGTTTGCCAAGACGAGAGAAGTTGCACAATTTTAGCAGCATTGCAATGTGCTTGGTTCCTTTTTGCAAAATGCAATCCACATGTTCTGTCTTGTCGGATCGACATAGATTCAATAATCGGGCCGACGCACAGTGGATCGAGTCAATTATAGCGGTCGGACATGAAATTTTTGACTAAAACTGCAAATTTTGATGTTAATTTTGTCACATTTTAATTTTTAAGGGGTGACTCTACAGGAAAATTTCACGAGAAAACTAATGGAGCCACTTTCAGAACCTCAAAATTTTGTCTAAACGGAGTTATAAGCGTTTAAAGTTTCCATATTTTGTCCGACCTCTCCTATTGACTCGATCCACCGTGCGACGGCGATAAGAACTCGATGTTCCGTTCCGAGGTATACATTGTCTTCTAAAACCGCTAGCTAGCAGCAGCTAGTAAACAGGAGAGTAAACAGAGTTCATTCACCTGCTATCGCATAAAAATAAAGAATAGCTTGAACAGTTTACTCGTAAGAACATCAAATATTGACATAAATTTACCAAATATTAATGCTACCAAGGAAAAACAAGAATAAGGAACACTACGCCGGTGGAAGGGTTTTTTTTTTCTTCGGATGAAGTTACAAATTCATTACAAGAAAACTCACAAGCAGCACTCGCAATCGTGATGGCTCTCTCTCCGTAAGGATTGACCATATTGCATCGTGGACAATGGAAGGCGCTTTGAAGAGGCTCCGAAAGATTGCGACGGTTACATTAATTTTCCAAAAAACGGTGAGCTTTGGCACTTCGATCTGCAAATTCAGGTGTCGCTACAGCTCTGGAACAATGCAAAAAATAGAATTAGGATATTAAGAGGGGCGTTACACTTAACATTCCAAAAATATCGAATTATTATCTACTATTGGCCTATGGCCGCGTTGCGGCTGTCAACCTATTGAAAGAAGATTCTACTTAAATAATCGTAGAACAACAATCCTCAGTGTAATTTGGGTTAATTACTTAAATCTCAACATGGCAATAAGATTTATTACAAAACAATCAGCTTCGTGTAATTTTATTTTCGGTCCATAGAAACGACTTTTAGGTAATTTTGTATGGCGTTGGACTCCCCCCCCCCCCCCAAAAAAAAATTTCTCGATATTAGCCACAGGCGTACGTAGGTCATTTTGCAAACATCGTCGAAATTACGTTAGATTGCCAGAGTTCATTTTTGTATGAATGTGATACCAAGAATAGCTCCCTGGAAATTTTGCCACATTTCTGATAAAAAGAATGTCCACTTTTCCTCCCTGAAAGTTCGGTACGTTCGGCGTTTTCCGGACGCTAGAACGTAACAGCATTGCTACTTAAAAAAATTCCTTTCGTAAATTATATTTTCATCGGAGAACATACAGGATTGCAAAATCTCTACAATCCTGTGATCCAAGGATTGCAAGCTCGCGGTGTGTACTGTTCGGAAGTAGTGCACACCGGGACAGGTTCGACACCAAGAAAATACAACTTTTCAACAAGGTACACTCTACTACAGGTTTGGACAAATGGAATTTTAGAAAGTCGTCGAAACGCGTGGATTTGACAGCGTCCAATTGAACGACTGCGACGCTATTTTGAAAACTTATTAACTTTCTGATTTGAGAGTGGGTCTCGTCAAGGTCGTGTCATTTTTTCGTGTATTTAGTTAAGTTTTTCGTTATTTTGAGTTTTATTAATTTTTTTAAAATTCATCTGAGAGCTTATTGAAGCTCATTTTGAACAGCGCGGCAAAGACGGTAAAACTTGCGACGTCCCTCGATGGCCTATATTCTCAGCGCTGCCACTTCGGCACCCCGTTTATCCATTCCTGTAGTAGAGTGTGTGGACCTAGACTTTTCAACGACTTAAGCCCGCACCGTAGTATACGCGTAATGTATGAAGTATCCTGCAGACTTGTAAGGCGCTATATCATGCGTGGCGCGCACCGTGCTGAACTCGCAATGCATGAAGTATCCTGCGGCCTTGTAAGGCGCTACTATGCGTTTCGAGCCCATGCGTGAGTGGCCGTGTGCGCCGGCCGCACTGTGTTTGATGCGAATATTCAAACTTGCGGCGTCAGCGGTTTTCAACTTATTATTTGGAAGTTTGTGTAAAGTTTGTTGGAATTATTGTCATCACAAATGACAAAACATTACATAAACCCAACTAATTATCCTCTCTTCATTTTCATATTTTTATAAATACTTTTAAATGAAGAAGCATGCAAGAGAAACGATTTTTACGTGTAGGCTTCCCTGCTTTCTCAGCAATGTAATGGCGTGATCGTGTGGACTAAATTTTGCTATTCGGAACTACAATATCTGGTTCATACGTAAAAACAATTGCGTGCTTACGGAAACTGAGTTCCTAAACAAAGCAAGAAATTGTGGTTTTATTTGCCAAATGAATTTCATTTGATCAACGAACCCTTTTGAAGCGTAGGTTATGGATTTGACGAAGCGGAGGGTATGGATTCAATCGAAATGAATCGATCGAAAAACTCGTGAATCGATCAAATCGACGCCGGTATTTTAATAACTTGTCGGTTAAATTGGTGTCGATCAGCTCACGGCCATCGATTCATGTCGATCGAATCCATACCCTCCTTTCGAAGCCCCCATTTTGAAGTAAAGAACCTGTTCACAGAACTCCTCATCGATACCGATTCTCAATTGGGTAGGTGCGGGGCATTTTGATGACGAACGCAGACGCAAAAATTTTCCTTCCTGTGCGTGTATCGACGGTGAAACTACCAAACCACGTATCTCGGTTTGCGACGTCGCAGACTTCCTGTCATACTTTATTTTTTAAATGAAAAACTACTTAACATCCAGTCTTGAAAATTTCTGTGATTTTTCCTCTTTGTGCGGAGAAAATTCCGTGAAAATTTCAAGGAATGATATTGATTTGGTCTACTTCAAAAAAATAAAATGTGAGCGTAGATTTTTAAACACCGCAAACGAGATACGTGGTTTGGTAGTTTCACCGTCGATATGTAGCATTTACCGGTGCAGCGACGAAGAGCACCTCGGCACTACGATTGTGGGTTGACAAACACTAAATCAGGCTTGGTCCCCTACTAACGGAGAGTCTGGGGGGTATTCGATAATCCCTAGCCCAGAGGGAGGTTCGGGGGACCTCCTTCAGAAAATTTGTGAAATTTTAAAGCTACTTAGAGGCTGCCGTGACGCAGATTTTCGATCGACTTCTGCGGAAAAATTTCGCTGTTCACATACTTCCAGTACAAAATTCTTCTAAATTGTTGCACTCAACAAATCTGGATTTTTATTTATTTATTATGATTTTATCATTTCGGTCGCAGTCGTGTTTTGAAGGTCGCAACCCGCCTCACTTTTTTTCATTACATTTTTTGGAGTACCAGTCAAATACATGAAGAAAATCAAGATTTGGGCCACCGGCCCTTGAAAAATTGAACAGCCCTTACGGACGATAATTTAATCTCGTCACATTTCCTGTGATATGTTTATTTTCAGTAAAAAATTAACTTTGGAATTTTCGTGTGCTATACATAAAACTTCATATAAAATTCCCGGTAAAATTTTTATGAAAAGCGCAGGTTTTTTAGGAAATGTAACGACTTTTTAGCAGACATCATTTCAGCATCGTCCCAAGGTTCATACCTTTTTTTTCTTCTTTTTTTTCTTTTTTCTCTTTTTTTAGCACACTAGCACGGTTGACGACAAGCACTCGGTTGACAGCTGCAATTAATACCTCGACGTGTCGACGTACAGATCCGGATTGGACACTTAAAAAATGAAAAATTTTAGAAACCTCCGACTTTGTGATACTATGTTACACTAGCAGAAAGAATATTTGAAGGAGTAAGAGCTAAAGAAGTCTCGCGCCTCAGTGCATTGAAAAATATAGGAAAGTTCTATTTGACAGATGTTTCATTTACCCGTAAGAACAGTCGCGAATTTTATTGATATTGAAATGTTTTATGAATTGTCTTTGTAAGTTAATGGCATTTCCATAAATTTTCAATGTAGGTAAACTATGCATCCGTCAATATATAAGAGAAAAACGACATTGGATAGAACTTCGAACCCTTTGTAATAAAACTAAGTCCTTTTGACTCTCACCTCCTCATTTTGCCTTTTAGAGTAGGTATTCTCGATACACCTTGCTTCTCCGTTCCAACTTGTGAAAATTATTGCACGTAGAATAAAATTATGGGACAAATGTATTTAGGATTATTACGTCTAAGAAAGAAAGAAAGGAAGTAGTAGTAGTGAGATAAGTTTAGTTTAAAGCGGTGCTTTAGCATCTAAGGCCAGTTACACCTCTGTGTGTTTTCATGGAAATCAAGGGTACATCGGTGAAAATACAAAAGGGTTGAGGGGGAAGGTGAAAGAAGGAAGGGAAAAAAGAAAAAAAGGAAGAAACCTAATATCTTAAATTACTGCAGAAATGACGTAGGCACCGAACCTTTTTTACGCATGCTATTCATTTCTCGGTACAGGCATGTACGTCTAAAAGTCATGCACTATCGGCTCGTTTTGACAGGGACTGTGAATAACAGTCAACCAATGTCGTCATACGGCCGAACATCAAACATTGGCAACAGCATACTCGTAGTTCAAAAAAAAGTATCCGGAATCCATGAATTACCTGAGAACGATCGATTTTTTCCCTAAAATTGGAGTACATCACGTCAGGATGTTCGCAACGTAATCGAAACGCGTTTTTCGGAGTTCAGTGTTTTACCATCGGAGTACAGAGGAATAACTGTAACTTCTCAGAATACTCGACCTTTAGGTCGAGGAATACGTCTATTCCTCTTTGGACGACTTGCTTTGGAAATTAAGCACGTACGTAACTCTAATGCGCGCAACGTTTTAGTTTTTCTCTTTTCGTATTTTTTAAACGAATGTACATCAGTCAATACGTATCTGATTCTTACGGAAAAGTTCCCCTTTTTCAGATTCATTTTCAAAGAGAAACTACTTGAAAAGAAGTCATAGAATGAATACTTAACTTATCTTCCTTGGTCTCATTTTCTCCAAATGAGAAAATAAAAAGGGAATTTCTGAACTAACAGGCTGTGATTACGTAGATTCGGGCTGTTTTCTGAGGACAGAATTCGACTACCACCGCCGAACAGCGGTGCCATTGTATTATAATCTATATTTCTTCAAAATGTTAAGATGGTGTCAGATAATTGGGATCCGCGAATGGACGTGTCACTAAAAAAAATGGTATGCCAATTTAGCACCTAGGATGTCAAAAATGTGTCTGGTAATCCAAAGACGCTGCCTTGATTGCGCATGCAATTGAATTTGCATTCACAGGATGTAAAATTAACTGCGAGGGCAGTAAAGGCAACATCCTGGGATCACCAGACACATTATTGACTTCCTAGCTGCTAAAACAGCATGTTATTTTTTTCAGTGAGTCAGTTTCAGTGCGTTTTTGTCAAGTTAATCGTGATTAGTTAAAAAAGTAAATAAATCAATAATCGGATTAACAGGGAACAGGCAACGGATAGTCGTCTTAAGAGTAAAAAGTAAAAGTCGGATTTTAAAGGCGAAATATTCAAATAAGAAAAAAGGAAAATCCACTGGGTGAAATCTCTGGAGTCCGTTTCGTTGATACCCATACGTATCAATCAAACTTGCCTTGTCGTGATTTTTCCGGGGTTTTTTGATTCCACGTTTGACCGTAAATGCATTATTTGAAACAACGTATCCACGTCCTATTCTGCCGTGCTGGGTAAAAACGCCGTATGAGCGTTCGAATGTTGCCGAATTTCCTCTCAGAAAATATTTTTCCTTGAGGAAACTTCATTTATTCTCATGGAAATATATGTATTTAACATTATTAGAATCTAAACTGTGATAATTCTTCTCTTTATCCCGCGAGAATGACTTTTTAAAGAATTTTAAATTAATTTATTTATGGCTAAAGTCGGAAAATGCGTTCCTTCTGTTGCAATGTTGCAACGTTGCAAGTTTTGACTCATATTTTGAATATTTTTTTACAATAAAACAAACTAACAGCCTTCCTAATTAATTTCTAATTTTCTAAAATAAAATAATAAAAAAAAATAATTGTATTTTTACTGATATT